GCCACTAACACGTGGATGACACACACCAGGACAGAGGGGCTAAAGGGAGCCCAGCATGGTCAACAGAAAGGGAAACAGCTCGGCCCAGACAGGTGTTTCTCACTCATCACCCCTTGTCTGGGAGGCGAGGTAAACCCTGCTTCAAAGGAACCTGACCCATGGGAACCAAGGTGCTGCCCCGGCGGAGGGCGCGTCCTTCATCCCGCGGGCAGGGTGGGCCCAGGTTCCTGGACACAGCGTGTTTCTTCAGCGCTCTCCAAGGCAAGAGCTGAATTCAGGGAAGGGTCTGCATGAAGGAAGGCGGCCCTGCTGAAAACTAGTTAAGTCAGCATCACTTTCTGCTGGCCTGGACGTACTGTCGCGTTCGCTGGCCGCAGGCATCGGTGGTGAGCCGGTCAGCAAAGCTCATTCCGACCCAGATTAGGAAGCAGGGCAGCGGATCATCTGGCCTGAGCAACAGAAGGGTTGTCGTTTTTGTTTCTTCTCATTAAAGCCCTCCCCCATGCTTAGATCAGTCCTTGGAGTACATACTTGATAGCCAGTTAACATTTGCTGAGAGAACGTGTGACTAGGGGACCCCAACAACCCACTGAGGGTTGGTCTGGTGGGTGAGTCAACAGGCAAAGTCATATAATGACAGACGGTGACCAAAGGGCCCTGCAGAGCTGGGCCCAGCGTCGGCTTCCTCCTTCCCTACGCGTCTGGAGCTCAGCCTCTGTCTCAGGAAATACTGTATATTTAAAGAGCCTTTGTCACCAAAGAGACAAAAGCGTCAGGAAGCCCGGGGTGACCACCTGCCTCGGCGGGGCCTTGGCCGTGGTCGATTCTGAAGAGCTAAGAAACTGCTCGGGGATTTGTTCAAAGAGTGTTCCCAGACTGTTCCTTCAGGTTGTTTCTGTATGAAAAAATCTCTGCAGGTGGGCTGTAACCATCATTTTAAAAGCTTGGCCAGATGGGAAGGAAGCTAACATTTACCTAGTGCCAATCACAGGCCAGAAGGTAGAAACCAGCCCCTTCTGGTATGATTGAATCCTTATGGCTGCACCGAGGGAGGTGCGGACCCCTCTGCGGATAGGAACTGAGGCCCAAAGGAGAGAAGGAACTTGCCTGAGCTCACCCCGCCCCCATCTGCAGCCGGACCGGGGGATGGGGGGGGAGCCACGCCCACTCCACAGGCAGCCCCCCGCTGGGATCAGAAAACTAGTGATTTTTAAGAGAACCAAATCCTTTTGCTCAGTAAACGTTCCTGACTTTTGCAGGGATATTTGCTGGGGCTGCCACCGACGGCAAGCGGACCTGGTACCTCTCCCGGAGATACGGTAGCTCCAGAGCGGGTTTCCCAAGGCCCGCTTCTGCCGGGGCCTGTCAGGATAATGATGTGGGGCTGCAGTTAGAGGCGCAGGGAGCCCCTTCTGTGGGGTTGCAGAGGCCCCTGGGGAGAATAGCTCCCTGCCCCTTGCAAAGCAGTCCTGGTGCAGAAACACCACCCCTACACTGCCGGGATGGAGGTGGGCATGTGTTGGCTCTGTCTGTTTAAAACAGCAAAAGCAGCCCAGCCTGTGTGGCTCAGTGGTTGAGCGTGGACCAGTGCACCAAGGGGTCGCCAGTTCGATTCCCGGTCAGGGCACATGCCCAGTGTGTGGGCCCGATCCCCAGTGGGGGGCATGCAGGAGGTGGCCAATGGATGTTCTCTCTCATCCATGTTTCTATCTCCCTCTCCCTCTCCCTTTCTCTCTAAAATCAATAAAGAAAAAACATTAAAAAGAATAATAAAACAGCAAAAGCAGCAGGGAGACGTGAATGCAGCGATTAAACTGAAAACATCCCTCAGGTCCTCTTGGGAACCTGGATGTTGCTTCCCGGGAAGGAGGTGGACCGTGGCTTCCAGGCTAGCTACATTCCGAGGTTTCCGTTCCACTCTGCAGCTCACTGCACATGAAAAGAGTGGACATAACCCTAGACACCTCGTGTGGAGGCTTGAAACGAGCTGGGGTGTTTTTGTTGTTTTTTTTATGAAGGTCTTCCTTTGGGTAAACCCATTAATAAACCTTTGACCCAGAATTACACTTCGGAGAATGAAAGTAGGTTGCAGCTTGCCGGGTTCAGCCGGGCCCTGCCATTTCCCTGTACAAGGAAACACCTTCGTCTGTGCTGTGCTCCTCTCCTTGTTGGGAAAATGGGGATAGTAAAATGATCTACCCGTGTGGCTTCTCTATAAAGATAATCCATAGACACTGGTGCCGTCAGAGGGAAGGACTCAGGTGTTTATTATCACCTTAAAGACCCAGTCATAAATATGGACAAAGCCATGCAACAGAGTTCACTGTAGCACTGTTTCTAAGAATAATAAAATCAAAACAATATAAAAATCTCAAACTGAGTGAATGACTAAGCCAAATCGGCTGCACGTCCAGTCCAGAAAGCTGACAGAACCACTGAAAACTCCGGCTATGAAAATGATATAACAAAGGAGGGACATCTGTAATACTCTCAACAATAAAGATGTGTCCCAAAAAAGGATCTAGAAATATGTTTAAGCACTTATGATAAGATGAGAAAAAAGCAGTGTATAAAACCACATGGACGGCGTATTTACAACTGTATAAACTAGAAAACAAATCCCCATAAGTAGGGAAAAAAGATGGGCAGGAAAGTCATGGAAATGCGTTGAGATCAGTGAACTCTGGGTCATTTTTAGTTCTCTGTTCTCGGTTTTCCAGTGTTTCATATATTTGTGGAGTAAAAATATATGAAATATTTAAAATAATGGTACAGTAGTTGTTTTTTGAGTAGCGTCGGCCTGAAGGCTCAAGAGCTGCGGAACAAAGTGCGGCTTGTTTTATGACGTTCTGGAAAGGGGCCAGCGGGAAGGAGGGTGGGCGCATCACTTTTCAGGCTTAAACATTCTTGATCGTTGGTCCTCGGGACGCATCAGTAGACGAGCTTTACTCAGGACCCACTAAGCTCCACGCCAGTTCCTCGGGGACTCTCCTGCGGCGTCTGTGAAAGCTGCAGCCCACGCCGTCGGAAGCGGTGCGGACAGGAAGCTGGAAGTCCGCGGGAGCCTGGCTAGGCACGCACATTCTCGGTGCTCACTACAAACTCTGCCTTCGCAGTCTCCCCTCCAGCCCACCCCTCCATCATTCAGTGCACTCCTGTTGTGAGCCCCGTGCTTGCTAGAAGCTGAGGACAGGGCTGGACTCGGCCCCTGCCCTGAAAGAGGTCCGCCTAGGACTGCAGAGGGAGCAGACCGGCACACGCGATCCCCAAGGAGGAGCGTGGAGTTAAAAAGGGCTCCGCGCCCTAGCCAGTTTGGCTCAGCGATTAGAGCGACCGCCCCCGGAACAGGGAGACCCGGGTTCGGTTCCGCTAAGGGTATGGACCTCGGTTGCGGTTTGTCCCCCACCTTTGGGCCCTGTGGGTGTCTGTCTCATGTTGATGTTTCTCTCTCTCTCTCTCTCTTCCCCTCTATCTGAAGATAAATGCAAAAATGTCTGTGGGTGAGGATAAAAAAAAGGCTCGGCTCCAAGCACAGCATGGGTGGCATCTGATGGCATGTCTGGAACGATCAAATGCTTGCCAGGCTGGAAGGGCTGGGGTGGGGTGAGGGCATCCCAGGCCAAGGGAGAACAGGTACAGAAGCAGCAACAGAGGCACTGAGGGCGCGGTGGTGTGGGGGAGGGCTGGGAAGCTCGTGGTGGGGCTGGCCCAGTGAGGGAGCACCAGGCGGTGTCAGTAGTGCTAGCAAGGCTGGCCTGAGTGTAGGCTACTAGTCATCGGACTTTTTTAATCCTCACCCAGGGATATTTTTCCATTATCTTCAGATAGAGTGGGAAGGAGGCAGGGACGGAGAGAGAGAGAGAGAGAGAAGGAAGCATCCATGTGAGAGAGACATGGACTGATTGCCTCCCACTTGACCCCGACCAGGGCAGAAACCTAACCACAACCGAGGTACATGCCCCTGACCGGAATCGAACCCTTGACTCTTTGGTCTGTGGGCCGATGCTCTAACCATTGAGCAAAATTGGCCAGGGCCATGGGACGTTTTTTAAAGCAGAGACTCTCTTAGGAAGCAACACTGGCAGCAGTGTGGGGGGTGAGCTCCTGGGGGTGCAGGGTGCAGCCAGTGGCTAAGGCGCAAATGAGGAGGTAGCGGCAGTGGTCTGACGGGGGCCCCCTGGGGAGGAACCAGACCAGGGAGTTGTGACTGGGGTGGAGTTGAGGGCTCTGGCTGCCTGGTTGGATCTGGGGGTAACAGGAATCAAGGATGAATGGATGACATGGGCTTGGTGGGGGAATAACGAAAGATATGAACTCCGTTTGGGACAAACAGTCAAGTGAGCCAGGAGCATGTGGGCAGTTGACTAGGGAGCCCTGGCCTTCAGAAAAGCCTGAGGCTGGAGATGGTGATCAGGAAGTGACAGGGCGGCCGTGGGCATCTGCTCCCAGCGCAGCCCAGGCTACGCTGATGGGACGGAGAGCAGAATCCTTGGGAATAATCACGCTCCACGACACTCAGTCCTCAAAATTAGCTTTGACAGCAGGTTGCCTGAGGGCTGCTGGAGGCTCTGAACTGTGCACAGTGTTTTCTTTTCCACGTGCATCCCTGGTTCTCTCTCCTGTGAGGCAGGGGTGAGAGAATGACCCCTGACACCCCGAGTTGTGCGTCTGCAAGGGGCTGTGCGTCGGCTGGTAATACAAAAGTCTGTAACCGTATGATATAGGCTAAACCAAAGGCTTTTCCGGGTAAAGATACATCATTTATATGATTTACACTCTTTAGGCCCTGACGAGCATGTTTTAAACGGAAACTGTGTGTTGATTAATGCTCGCACGAGCTCTGGCATTCCAATTAATAGAAGGGGACTAGAAAGTTCTAGATGACAGGGCATATTTTTCTTCCCACCCTGACTTTTAAAAAAAAAGGCTGTATATGGATTACAAATGCTAGACAAGCTCAAGCTCTCAAAAATGCACAATCATGTTCACAGTCATAGAATTTAGAGATGATGGAACAAATCCAAGTAACAATTTTATTCTAGTCTACAGCACAAATTTTTACATACATTTTAGTGGTTTTGACAGTGTTACTTTTGAGCAGACTTTTAATGAATCCACAAAAGTTACTATATTAAAAATAAAATACACACACTAAAACAACAGGAATGTGGATGCTGAGAATCATGCGGGTCGGGGTGGTCTGGCCGGTGCTATGATGGAGAACCTTGCCTATTTAAGAGTTCACTAGTGAATATCAGTTCTTCTGTTCTTCATCCCTCTATAATTCACCAAAATCAGAGAATTCTAAACATGTACACACAAAATAAACCCTTTTGTAAAGCCGTCTCAGTACAAAAATTCAGTAAACAAGCCTAAATGTATCTTCAAACCAACATTTCCATTGATCAAGCCAGTTATTAGAAAAGTTACCATCAGCACCTGATCTAAAGGCAAGGTGGTCTCATCTATTAAAACACCAGCAAGGGATTAATCAACACAGCAGCTAATATGTTAATCTTAATATAAGACACTGAGGGAAAACCAAAAGTAATATATTAAATACCACTCCACTAAGCCAGGATATAACCCATGGATTATAGATACATGAGTTTCTATCTGTCAAAGAATGCTTTAAATATTTTTCCAGGTAAAAGAAAAAAAGGATATCAGGAGATACAGAAGAAAGGTAGAAATGTGAATTGATGCATCTAATTCCACAGTTTAAAAATGAGTATCAAACTGATAGAGAGCTAAGTGACAATGACTTCACCGTCAGGCACCAAAGAGGCAACACCACCGTTCACTCTAACTCCTCATGCTCCTCAGTCTCAGCGGAGGGCCACCGGACGATACGAGAATACAGACTGAGCACCCATCCACCGCTGACAAAGACCCCAAAGAAAACATCACAAAGGCGCAGAGAAACAGTTGAATCTTCTGAAAAAGTTAATGATATCAAAATACTTCACCCATCACAAGTAAACCAAACTAGGTCAAGTGCATGGCCCGAAGCAGCACGGAATTCAGAGTCAGAGGTTGGCAGAAAAAGTCTGGAAAACTGCGGTTTTACAGATCGGCAATGTCTCCATGCTTAATAAAACCGCCGAAGAGGTATCATGTTTGTTCGCTCATGGAATGTTGACAGCTTGCTCAGAAACTCACGTGGAGGAACCGCGGACATGCGCGTCAATGGAACGTTTTTTTAAAAAATTTACAAAAAACGGAAGTTACTGTTTAAAAAATAACCATGTTATGCCAAGATGAAACATGGTGTAAGTTCTGCCCATGATTCTTCACACAGCTGATGGGAAAGTGATAGAAACCATTTTCTCTTAAAAAGGAAGCTTTGCGATTGCACTGACTTTGACAACCTGACCTAGGAATTTAGAAAAATCATGTAGTAAAATCTGTAAAATTAAAATACAAAATTCTGGTTTGTAAACATCAGTTGGCCAAGTCTATCCAGAGTCCTGCATGATAGTGGAATGGAATGAATAATTAATTTACTACCTTATTTATTTGTTCTGGAACATTCCAGAACACAGCATTTATACTTTCACAGTAATTATATTCAAACTATATCAAGAAAGTCAGTGCAGTTGTCTTTTTTCCTCCTCCTGTGCAACACTCAGCTCTTACCCCACCCCCAAGTGCCGTGACTGAAATAATACTGGCGCGGACACCCCACTGGTCATAAATGGCGCATAAAGTCAGTAGGACTTCGGTAAAGATATTTCCAAATGGCATAGTAATGCACTGCAGCTGCCGTGGCCACAAACAGGTGCCAGATGGCGTGGGCAAACGGGATGATGCCATCGCTCTTGAAGAACACGACGCCCAGGCAGTAAATGAGGCCCCCACAGGCAAGTTCGTGAAGTCCATCCGTGTTGTTCTGCCAACAGAGGAGACAAATGAAAAGGTTTTGCTGTTACTCTGATGTGACAAGTTAGAGGTTCCTTGCAATCCCCCCTAAGCCCCTGATTCTCTAGACAATGAAGTAGCTCTGCACAGACAGAACCCAGATCTGTGACTAAAGTCTCTCATACATCGACCCAGATTACCCTTTGGGCTGACATCTTGCTCAAGGCCAGCAGGCAGGCTGCAGGGCCCACAGCGAAGAGCAGCACATTTAGCTCATCTAGAGCATGTCCAGGCAGACTGCAGTCGCATCCGGACATGGCCGTTCACTATATTTATTTAAAGGTTATTTCATTGATTTTTAGAGAGAAACAAAGGGAGAAGGAGAGAGAGAAAAACATCAATGTAAAAGCAAAACATCAATCGGCTGCCTCCTGCACACCCCCAACCGGGGATCGAGCCTTCAACCTGGGCATGTGCCCTGACCAGGAATCGAACCAGCGATGTGTTGGTGCACAGGATGACACCCAAGCGACTGAATCACATTGGCCAGGGCATGACATTTTAATATAGGGCAGCCCTCGCTTTCATCTTCCCCTTTAAAAGCTTTCTTCCTACCAAATCATGCCCTCACCACTCCGTTTGTAAGCTACATCTCAGCCCGAGTTTTCACCCCCTCTGTCCTCCCCAGGCCGTTCTACAGGTTGCTTTCCTGAGGCCTTCCCTGCCTGTGTGAGTTTATGACCTCCTATGACTGACACAGGAGAGTCACCTAGAATGGACCTCAGAGATCAGGGATCATGAAGTACAACACACTTTCTAAGCTTCTAGATGTGGCCAGGCCTCTCTGTCTTTGAGCCTGGGTGTTTCTTAGCTTAGCAGGAAGTAAACAGGCACATGTGATTTAGCACAAAAAGGAGACTTGTTTAGGCCGCGTTGGTTTTCACAGCCTCGGCCCGTCTTCAACATGACACTGGGTTGTGTGAATGAGGAGGAGGGAACAGAGGCAGGGCTTAGGACGCTGATGAACAACTCAGTCCCCTGGATTCCTGGGGACTAGGAACAGAAAGGCCTTGGGTTCGACAGGGTAGGTGGAGACCCAAGCCAGATGATGGCACGGCCTTGGAAGGGACGGCTGTGTGGGTGTCCCGTGAGCCTTGGAGCAGGTCCTGTGTCCAGTCTAGCGGGGAGCACGGGGGAGTTCTAATGTAGCCGCCAACCTGAATGGGCCCATGGGCCCAGGCGAAAGCAAGGGCAGCGGATGACCATGCTGAAGAGCCAGGCGAGAGGATCTAGGGCACAGGCCAGGATCAGTCCTACCTTCAAAGTTCACATTGAGCCCCATAGTTTTGGTAGGATCGGAAGATGGGAAAGAAGCCAACCCCAAAAGACCACACCAGATTTCTTACTCATTTTGGTAAGATGGAACCTCAGCCAGATTTATTTTATTTTACACACACACACACACACACTCACACACACACACACACACACACACACACACTTTCCTAAAGGCTATGAAGCGATTAAGACCCATCAATCACACGGAGCCCTCTGTGTCTGTGCAGCAGGAGCGCTCTGCTGGGCGATGGCTGAGGCTTCTCCCTGGGTCCTCAGAGGGGGCTGGCTGACTCATCTACGTGACCTCCTTATTTTAGACACGCAAAGAGCAAGGCCACAGGGATGAAATAATCTGAACAAAGTCACATAGCTGGTCACGGCCCAAGACACCACTTTTTCGTTCTGCTGAAACAATAAGCAAGAGACCAACCAAGCATGTGGGCTGATTTTAATCCATACTCTGTTAATAGTTCCTCAAGACACCACATTTACCTCACACACTTCTAGAACCAGGACATCGTTTCTTCCTTCTTTTTTAAATGGAACGTACTGGGTACAGGTTTCGAGTGTACAGCTCAGTGAAACGTCATCTGCACACTGCATCACGCGCCCATCGCCCCACGCAGGGTCTCTTTCCGTCCCCACTTCCCCTGCCCCTGCCCACCTCCCCCTGCCCCAACCCCGTTCCCTCTGGCTGTCAGCACGTGGTTGTCTGAGTCTCTGTGTTATATACGTTTGTTCTTCGTTCTTCTGCTTAATCCCTAACATGTTCTCTTCATTATCACTATTGTGTTCCTATGTACCAGGCACTGTTTGAAGTCCTGCATGTATTTATTCATTTAATCTTCACAACCTTAAATTAGAAACTATTATCCCAATTTACAGCTGAAAAAAATAGAATAAAATATAGGATAAATAATTTTCCCAAGGCCACATAGCTCTTAAGTGTCAGAAGCAGGACTTTGAATCAAGGTGGTCTGGTTCCTGAACTTGCTATTGGTGGAGGGGGTAGAAGTCATTTCATAGAATGATGATTGACAGCATGTAATGCATAGATCTTAAGTGAACAGTATGGGTTTTGATAAATGTACCCATGTAACCCATATCCCCATCAAATTACACAACTATCCCAACACCTCAGAAGGGTCTTGGGTAACCTCCTACCCAATCCTAGACAACCCCTTCCACCAACCATTGTTCTTATTGCTATCACCACAGGCTCGGCATCTGCTGTAGAACATCACATGATAGAACTGCACTGTGTGTACATTTTTGTGTCTGGCTTCTTTTTGGCTCAATATAATATTTTTGAGATTTGTACTGTGTGTGTATGTGTGTGTGTGTGTGTGTGTGTGTGTAATTCATTCGTTTCTATTACTTAGCATTCCATTTAGTTATCAATTCTTTCACTTTGGGGGCTTAAAAATAATTTAGCCCTGGCTGGGTAGCTCAGTTGGTTAGAGCATCTTCCTTATACACCAAGGTTGCAGGTCTGATCCCCAGTCAAGGCACATACAAGAATCAACCAATGAGTGCATAAATAAGTGGAACAACACATCGATGTTCCTCTTTCTCTCTCAAAATCAATCAATAAACATTTTTTAAATAAAATTAATATTTATATTGTTTTACAGGTCTTTTGTAGATACATGTTTTTATTTCTGTTGGGTAATACCTTTTGAGTCATAAATGTTTAATTTTATTATATATACTGCTAAACAATTTTCTAAGACTTCCGGTCAAGATGGCAAAGTGGCTGTACCACTTTACACATCCGCCCACCCTCCCCACAATGAACCAGGGTTCCAGGAACTTCACATCCTTGCCAGTATTTGTTGTCTCCTTAATGTTCACCATTCGTCAGGGTGAACAGTGGCAGCACATTGAGGTTTCCATTCCCATTTCCCTGAGGACCAATGATGAGCACTTTCCAAAGGCGAACTGGACAGTTATATGTCTTTCTTTTATCAATTTTTATAGAGGTGTCTTTTTAATAGAGATTTAGAGTTTTATCTATTCCAGATACATGTCCTCTGTCAGACACACATAGGGAAAGCAAGTATTTTCTTCATTCTGAAGCTTGTTTATTCATTTTCGAGTTCATTTTCTTCTTCTACAGTATCCAATCTGCTGTTAACCCCCTCCAATGAATTTCCTCCTTAACAAATCATAGTCTTCAGATCCAGAACTTCCGTTTGGTTCCTTTTTTAGAGTTCCATGTCTTTTCTGGGATTCCTCCTCTGTTTCCTCACTGGGTGAAGGCCCTTGCATGCTAATTTGATATCTCTGTCCTTTTGGACCCTTTCTAATGACCTGTTTTTCCTCAGGGGGGTGTGTGTGTCACATCTTCCTGCTTCTTGTTTATCTAGTAATATTTGTTTGGAGAAGGATGCCAGGTTTTTAGAGTCTAGACTTCGCTGCTGTTTTTCTCTGCCAGGCAGTTACTTGCTGGAGAATCAGCTGTATCCCTTCCAGGCGTCCCGGGGCTCGCTAGGGCAGTTCCAGAAAAGCTCTCATCGGGGCTACAGTAGCTCTTCCCCAAGGCATGGCCTTGCTACTGCCTGAGGTGTTCAGCAAGGTCTCCCCACTCCAGATGGCTGGAACTCCTCTCTCTGCACCCGGCACCTTCTGGAATCTCCATTTATCCCCCAGCCCTCCAACAGCTGCCCTAGGCCAGGGCATGCGCAGTCCTGCCCTGTACCAGTCCGCTTAGTACTCGGGCAGGGACTCAAGGAAACCCCTGTGAGTTTCTGGAGACTGGGAAGCTCCCCCCTCCTCCTCAGGACTGTGCCCCAAACTGCAGCCAGCTAAGCTGCTGCAATGGGCTTGTTTCCTTCCCCTAACTGCTGCTTTCTGGCACCCTTTCTTTTGTTCTAGTTTGGAAATTGTCCCCAGGGAGAGAATATGGGGAAGTTTGAAGCTCATCTTTTGGTTCCTCTTCCCTCAAAGATCACAGCCCTGCACCGAATCCAGTGCCAAAAACCAGCTGTTTCATATGCTTTTTCCAGTTTTATAGGCCTCTATGGCAGAAGGGTAGGTCTGAGCCCCATGATTCTGACCAGAACCAGAGCTTTGTGTCTTTACTCGCACTGTTTCCTCGCTGGTTCAGATGGATGGTTTGAGGTTCTTTTTGGTCTGGTCTGTCTAGCTCACCAGCTTTATTAGTTTATCAGCACAATTACCCCCCCCCCGCTGCACATATGTATGCAAACAAGTACATACACACTCATGTGCCAAACAATGAACTATTTTCAATCCTTCCAAGAGGCCAGTGCACTGCCCACCCTGCTGAGCCTTCTCCTCCAGCACCTGTGTCACTCCTGCTGTCTCCAGGCTCCCCCTGGCCTCTCTGAGTCAGCTTAACGACTATTTCCTGGGACACCTGTCATGTGCTCCCGTAGCAGCCTGTGCTTTCCCCAGAGACATTACAGCCTTAGTACAGCTTCTTATTTCATCGGGACTGTATTTCCTTTTGAGACAGAATTTTGTTGGGGCCTGCTCTCCTTCTCAGGAGCACGCCCGGCCCTTATTCCTCTCTGGTGGGCATCTCCGAAACCCTAGGGTCCCCACGAGGGACGTGCCACCAGGGGAGCAGAGGGCACTGGCAGCTCATCCCGGGCTAACCCCCTGACCTGTCCCCAAGACCCCTTTTCTCTGACTCTCTGGTGAGCTGACAGCAGCCCTCCTGGGCTCTGCACGTTGCTTAATCTGTCCTAAGCCTTTCGTGTCTCACCGGCCCCGCTTTGGTAGCTGTGCACAGAATAGAATCAAACATTTGTAGTAGAGGCACCACTTGATGTAACAGTTTATTACTTCCTGAATGTTTTACTATACGTTGCTTACCTTTAACATGAAAACAGGCAGAAACAGAGAAAATAGAAAGAGAATGAAAGAGAAACCAATTATGAAATAGTAAAGTACGTGAACCTTTGGGAAATGCAATGCTGTAGAAAACTACAACTTACATGTGTTGGGGTGACATGGGTTAATAAAGTGTTATAGGTTTCAAGTGTCCAATTCTGAAATACATCATGTATATATTTCATGCTTCATTCTAAGTTCTGTGGGGGCAAGTGTGAAGATTATCCTTTTGATTATAACATTAGTCACCTGCTACTTACCACTTGTAAAAATGCCAATTAAAGATTTAGGCTAATAAAAATACTGGATAAACTTGCTTTTATGATGCCCTGAGGGAATTCACTTGAAGTTCTTCTCTGATGATTGATGACCTGTCTGCACAGACCTTGCCCATTATATTCTTCGGGTGTCCTCATCACCCTCCAACTCCACGGCTTTCAAGACAGATGTTCTCGTTTCAGCCCTTCGCCCGCCTCCCTTCGCCAGTCCCTGTCATCTTTACCAAACTATACGCATTCTTGGCACTAGGTGATTGTTCAAGTCATCATAAACCTCGTATCTCAAAGAGCACATTTTATTACATTCTGTTAAGACATGTTCTCTGAAAAAATCACAAACACACCTGTAACTCCTAAACCTTTTACAGGTGTTTTTGTGACCAGGGAAAGAACTACATGCAGTAAAACTCCATTGTTATCATGTACCTGGCCCTGGCTGAGTGGGTCAGTCGTCCCGATATGCCAAGGTAGTGGGTTTGAGACCCAGTCAGGGCACATGTAAGAATCAACCAATGAATGCATAAGTAAGTAGAACAACAAATCGATGTTTTTCTCTTTCTTTCTCTCTCTCTTTCCCTCCCTCCCCTACCCCTACCTCTCTCAAAAGATTTTTTAAAATATGCCTATGAGCTCAGGAGTGAAATTACAGGTACAGTCCTGACCGGGGCAGGCTGGGAAGAAAGGTCAAGCCGACTACACCGTGACATCCTGGATGAACACAAATGTGAAGAGTACTGGGGTATGGAAGCTACAGGCACGAGTAACCAGCCGGATGGGACAGGGAGGGTATGGTGACATGTTTTTGTTTCAAGTTGATAGATACACATAGATTTCTCAATGATAACTGGGTTTGAAAGAGAGTTCAAAATGTCTACATACAACTGCCTACTACAGGCGATGTTACACTTTCACCATCAAAGTCCCCAAGTGAAATTTTCAAGCAAAGTTAAAAACAGAAAAACAAGTCCTTCCCCGAGAAAGAGAAGTAATATGACTTAAAAACAAGTGAAAGGAAAAGTAAGGTGAAGAGATTTGAGAAATATCCAATAAAATGTTGAACCAAACGACCTTTTAAGGTCCTTCCAATTCTTATGATTTAAGAAGTCAGTAATTTATATTTTCTTCATTGTAAGAAACCCCAGAATGTACCCGCTTCCATAAATTTAGGGGTAAGACACCAAGTAATTCAAGCAGAAATACTCACCTTCACATAATCTCACTCCTGAAGGGGGCGAAGAGAAGAGTGGGAGGGAGGGGAGGGTGAACAGAAAGGTCACCCAAAGAAACAGACATAGAAGGTCGCCATATGGAAACAAACACACTTAACTGTACAACTTTCCCCAACTATAGCAGAGCTAGTTCCTGGCACTTTGTAATTTACGCTTTTTTCTTTTGAGTCTCTAGTTAATGAACATATAACTTGATAAAGAAAAGCTACACATCACATCGATGGACATATTAAGAGTCCTAGTGATTTGAAAGAAAATAAGGCAAAACAACTAAAATCATGAAGCCATCTCTTACCATTGATGTCACCACCAAGGCTGGAGAGAACCCCATGGTGAGGTAGAAAAAGAGCTCAATCACCTTATACCTGTGGGACGGAATGCAGTACATTTAATGTATTGATTCCTACAGTACTTAGACCATTTCCATACCAGTTTCTTCTTGGAAAAAAACAAAACCAAAACTCAACTATTCAAATGAAATGTATTTTCCCAGCAGGAGACCATTAGGCTGCTAACTGAAACTCTCTAGTTGAGTACCAATGAACCAGCATTTCTTGACTCCACCTGCCACCTAGAAAATGTTTTCTGCCGGAGCAGTCACTGTGGAATCCCATCTGCCGCCCCTTTTCCCTTCCAATCCCAGGGTGCCTGCCTTCACCGCCATCCCAATTCACGGCTGTAAGAAACTGAAATTATGAAGATGGGCAGGGATGCGATTTAGGGCCTAGTTTATCAGAGACAAAGGGAGAGTAGCCCTAAGAAACAAAGGGCACGCATTGGTGTTTTTCTCTTTATTTTGCATCTGCACAAAACACTCCCATTTTAAAGACTCGTCATCGGATGAGGCTATAGAATGTCTCAAACTTAAGAAAGTGTATTCAGATTTCACTGACGTTTCTGCCTAATCAAACTAAACTTAAGTTCCTCAAAGGCAGAGGCCACATCTACTGAAGTTTGGATCTGCAGGGCCTGGCCCGATGTAGGTGCCCCTGGTTCCTGCCGAACCAAATGGCCCGTGGGCCTCGCCTGTCGTCCTTGGCGTTTCAGACTCAGAGTCCATCGTGAAGGAGTCCTGTCAGGGAGCTGGGGAAGCAGGGGTGTGCAGGTTTGGTACGTGAGAAGGTATGGAATAGGAGAAAAGATAGTTGTCTTTACTTCCTATATCATCCAAGGACATTAGCGGTTCGGGTTCAAGAAGCAAACTACTGCCTTTGATGTATATATACTGCATGCCACCACTCAGGACTGCTAATGATGGTGGAAAAAATTGCATTTAAGTGACTTTCAAAGTTGGAGAGAAGTTAGCAAAAACTTCTATTTTCTTCTGAAAAGGGAAAGCAATTTAATGCTTTGTGGTAAACAGAAGTTATGTTCAATTCTGAGAACCATTCTGCCAAGCACAACAGATAAAGAATTTCATAAACTGTGTCCAATGACAGGGATTTCACGGTTGCGAGCTTCAGGCACGTGGAATAATGAAAAGAGCCGTGGACTAGGAACTAGGACACTGGGGTCCCAACTGCAGATGAATCACTAATTAGATGCATGTCCTAAATGTTCTCATTTTTGAAGCTGGAATGGATGACTTTGAAGGTCTCCTCGAGAGCTAAGAGGCTCAATTTCAATAAGCTTTCCTTTTGATATTGCTAAACACTTAAGGACTATGAGCTACGGATAATGAATTTAATAAATGTGCCCCATTGTTAGGATATAAAGGGTTTAGACGTCCTTGCAAACACCCCTTCTCAGGGAATCCTAGTTTGGAACATCCTCTAGGTCCCTGTTGAGGTCAGTGCTGTCCTGGGCTGGGCACTTATGACCTAGTATCTTTAATCTTCATAGGAACCTTGAAAAGCAGTTCATTTTCTCACGTGATAACTGTACATCACAGAGGAGAAGGCTGGTCTGCTGAGAAGTCTAGTCTCCCTCAGGAGGTGAAATGAGGTCCAACTGAGTCTAACATGACAGCCCACCTCGCCCCTCAACTGCCCCGGCCACACGCGTGCCACTCACTTGTCTGCGGCAGTCCGCCCACCAACGCCAGATACCACCTGGTTCTGCAGATTTGCTTAAAATGATATATTTTCTATTTATGTATTTCTACTATTCTGAAGTGCAAACATAGAGTCAATTGTGGTGGAGATAAAATTTAGGCAGTTCATTTTAAAACTATCAAATGTAAATTATTTTCTCTTACTTTTCATGGTAGAGAAATACATAAATGGTTCCTCCAGCTGCCATGAGCCAGATAAACCAACGCATATGAGATGCCAGGGGTCCAAGTTCACGGAGATTTAACCTAAAAATGTAAACATGACAACAAAGAACAGAAGTGATCACTGAGGGGAACTCGGAGGCTGTGTTTTGCTGTAGACCTGAAGGTTGGGAGGGCAAGGACAGGGGTAAGACGAGGGAGGAAAGGCACTCAGCACCCGTGGAGGCATCTGGGTAAACTGGGTAACACTGACAACTCAAAGGTAAATTTGTCAGTTGACCTTTAAGACTCAGAATTAGTTCTAGCGTGGTTTAAAAACAGAACTTGCTAAAAGGAGATGTGTAAAAGTGGGTCCCAGCACACCTGTGAAGCCCGACTTGCCTTATTGGGCAGACTGCTATAAAGTCTCTTGCCTTACAGTTTCTGACAATGTATTTGAGAGCTGATTACTTGCAAAGCTTAATGAGAACCCTGAACAGAATCCTGAACTGGGATCACATAACCACAACGGATATCTAATACACAGAACAAGTGTTTCCATTATCAGTCTCTCTTCCAAAAGAACATGAGAAGAATTAGCCCAACATATATTATAGAAGACATTCTATTAGAATTGTACCATGGACTCTTGTAAAGCCTGAATATTAAAGTGCTGCAAATACATTTGTACTAATTTCATATTAAGGATATGAGGGGGAAAAAACCCAATGTTGTTCTGATTGGCTATTACTATACAATTATTTCCAAATGGAAAAAGTACTACCTGTTTATCAAAGACGACATATGAACACATTGTCTACTGTCCTTGGCCTACATTTAAAATTTTTATTGACTAACTTTAAATTGAGGCATACTTTACAAAAGCCTTTAAGTGTTCTCCCTCTGATATAATGCAAACCTATAATTTAGTAACAGGTGCTGGAGACAGATAACTTTTACTTTTTATTCCAATAGATAAGTAGATTTCTCTTGCATGATGGATGCTATATTAGTCAGAATCTAGAGGCCTGCTGTTTCTAATGACTAGTTGATGGCATAATATGAATGAATTTCTGAGTGTTTAAAACTGGACCACGTCTTGATAGGGAAAACAAATGTTCCTTTAGTTACAGTTTTCAAAGCAACAAACAATTCTATCTGATTGCTATACCAAAAGGGCAGGGAGATCAAGGAAATTGACCAGAATACTAGATATTTTAAATAGCCAGTAAAGTTGGCTAGTTCTCTTACTCATATAGCTAATGAAATGAGAAATGCAGTCCGTATAAAGTGGTATGAAGTGAACTGAAGATAAACAGTATACATTGCAAAACTGAGCTGTTTTCTTCATACATATTTATAGCACTTCAACTTAAACAATTGATGGCCAAGGAGTCTGAACAACGGACGTGTATACAAGACTATGGAAAGCAAATGTAATAGATTTCAGACATGGGGGGGCTACCTAGACCCAAGTTCACATCACTTCTCTTGAATGATCCAATGCCAGGTATATATTTTGAACAGCAGCAAAATGTTCCCCTTAAAATCTGCAATCTGACCCAAGTAGATCAAAATGAAAAAAAAAACAACAACAAAAAAACATGTATGTATGTGTGTGCTGGGGGGAGAGGGGTTGGGTACATGCATGGGGGCAGACACAGGGACAGGAGGAAGGGAAGAAGGGAGGACGGGAATTCTGTGATAAAAACACTATCTTCAAAAACAGAAAGCTGCGTCTCACCAGGGCGCGTAGGAGGCGGCGATGAAGAAGTAGATCACCATCCTGTCACACATGTGGAAGCAGTGTTCCACCGTCCTGGTGGGGAGAACACCACGTCAGACAGCTCACAGAGCATTTCCAGAGCATCAACACACCTTGCAATTTCCATTCCCGTTCTAGTTCCTCGTTGCATTTACACCTTGGCCTTTGAAGTTGAACAGCTATTTTTAATAATATGAAGCCATAAGTAGGAACTCCCTATTATTTTTAAGACTGCCCATACAAGAGATACTCACCATGTACAAGGTTCAGGGACAGACCCCACAATCATCAGGAACTCCTAAGTGGTTAACAAAGTAAACAAGCAACATCTATCTTCTCTGTTTTCCACTTAAAAAAAAATCCTATCTACCAGAAAAATGGAACTCTTTGGGGGCAGATCACCCCTCAACCCCCACCACAGTGCAGGGCACAAGGTAGAGATGCTCAGCAAACACTCCCTGAAGCCACACTCTTCACATCTTTTTAGAATGTCTCTAGAGAAGTGTTTACTTCAAACATCTTAGTGTAGACAATGGTTGTAATAAAGAAAATTCAGAAACTAATTCAGGAACAGCAATGACAAAAAGCAGGCAAAAGGGGCACATTTGCGAAGAGGCTGGCCACCTGGATTTCTAAGTAAGTTCTTCCTCCCCAACTGAACAGTCAGGTGTGCAAAGATCTGGTTCACTGAGGCCTGTTCCCAGAATGGACCAGACAGAAGCCACCCCTTCCTGAGGACAAATGCATTGCATCATCTTGAACCCATCTGCAGTGTCCGAGGGGTAGGAGCTTTGATCTGGCGAAGCACCAGTATTCAATTTTGCCTCACTGCACACGCAGCGGCGACCGAAGCCCACTGAGCGGGTTTTTGTTGTGGTTGGTGTCAGTGAAGACGTGAAAATAATGGAGCTCACAGGTCTAGAGAGACACACACTCCATTAATGCTTCTCAAACTTGACTGCATATCAGAAACACTTGGGGAGCATAGATCATACAGTCATGGACTCCAGTACAGAAGATTCTAATTTAAAAGACCTAGGACGTGGGGTGGAGGAGGAGGGAAGAAGGGAGTCTTTGTTTTAACTCCTTGGAGGACTGCGGCTCCTAGCCCTGTTCGGCCTTTCTACTTTTGCTTTCAATCAGTATGCGGCAAGAATTTTTAACACTTGTAATATCTGACTATTTGATCAGGGGCACTGACCTCTTCTCCCTTAGATTGTCAAATAAAAAAAAATGATAACAGCCAACATAATAGCCGTCTGGTGTGAATAAATCAAAATTACATCTATTTTTTTTTTTGTCTGATCAGTAAAAAAAATAATTTTTTGGTGTGCCGCAGAATTTTAGTAATTAGTTTATGTGTGCCATGGGATGAAATAGGTTGAAAATCGCTGTTCTAGACTGTTATGCACCATGACAGCAGGTAAAGTCAGACCTGCAATTTAGTCAAGATCCTCCACCCGCCTCTCCGACCCTCGCTTTCCTCACACGTAACAAAGAAATACCAGCACCTCTGCTGTCAAGTCTGTGTGAGCTGAGATAAGGTAGCCACGTGTTCAGCACAGCACCCGGCACAGAGCGGGCACTCAATAAATGCTAATTCCCTTCCCTCTTTGACTTAAGGCTAAATTTGGATATTTACAAAAATTAAGGCACAGCAAAAACCCCCGCGTGGATTACGATCCTAGCAGTGCTATTTCGAGGTTCAAGCGAGTCTGGTTTCTGTTCCACCTTCTTCTCCAGCGCTGGAGAGAGGCCGAGTACTGAAGTATAGGCATCTACAACTCTTTATTGATTCAGAAACCTAGACATCAGAGCCAAGTCAGCTGAGGCAACCACAAGCGCTGGACTGTGCCAGGGAGATAATGAAGTGCTCTGGCCTCTGGGCTCCATGACGCTGGGTCGCGAGGAGCCAGGACAGGTCTTCCTGATGCTCTCGTGTGAGTGTGCCCACGGCTCCCTCGTGATTCAATGCTGCGCTTTTATTTTAAGCCCAGGAAACTGTCACCTTACAGGCAAAGGTAGCAGACTGTATGCTATCAGCAATACTGTGAAGGATGGTGTGAAAAAACAGCCTCAGGACCAGGAGCCAGAAGTCCTGGGATGATCAGATTCTGGTGGTATCGCCATATCTCTGAGCCTCAGTTTCTCCGGGTGAAAATAAATGGATTAGATGATCCCTCAGGATCCATCCGGCTGTAAAACTGTGACTTCTAGGATTTCCACATGGGACGAAACCAATAATATCTCATACATCTCAAATTCTGCTCTTAAATAAAGCATGTCTTTTTAATATTAGGTCATTTGAACAGTCTGAGATATTTGTGGACATTCTGTAAAACAGAAAGGTATGTTCTAATATTATTTTAAGTCACTCTACGTCCGCTCTGAATCCTCCTTTTTGGAGAAGAAATGTTGCCCTTGGGTTGTGCGTAGTCTATTTCATGAGCAACTGAATGGTGTGCTGCTCCCTTTGTGTTCCCCCAAATTAATCCTCCGCTCAGAAGAGGAATGCTTTCGTGTCCTTCTCATTGAGAGGCCAGGGACCAAAGCGGTTTTGAAAAGTTGCCTGAAAGCTAATAGCAGCAAAATACATGAATTACGTTTGAATAGACACAATCACAGGACCTAATTCGGAAAGCTGAACTTTGCATGGCAGTGAACCCAAGCCGTGGTGTCCCTCCTGACATCTCCCAGTCCGAGAGCCTTTTGTAATTTTCAAATCATTTTCACGTGCACTATGTCCTTCAGCTATAACAAGACCTGCAAGGCATCATCACCTCATGTCAGTGATGATAAACGGGGCCTGAGAACAGGTGACTTACGCAAGGCTAGAGTGGCAGGGCTCAGACTTGAAGCCAGCTGCTGCCTCCGAGTTCAGGGCGCTCGGTCATGGCCGCACAGCTGCCCGCTCGGACAGTGCCCTTGGTGTGCTTGGGGCACTGGCACACAGATCTCGGGATTTTGAGCTGTCAAGTCCTGGGCAAGTGGTTTTGTCGGTGCTTTCTGAGCAAAGGCTCACTTTCCTAGACACGTATGCGGGTCCTCAGACGCTGTCCAACCCCTAGAAAACTTCTGAACAATGGGCAGCATTACAGCCTGCAAGGCAGGAAAATGTCCGCGCCCTTGCTTCCTTTGCCCAAAACATGCCACATGGGAGGCTAAGCTGAGTCACCTCCTCTGGTCCGAAATGGCGAGCACCCACCGTACCTTAAGTGGCTCTTTTTCCACGACACGATGTGAAATGCTGTGGAAACGATGAAGAGGGCGCAGAGGCCCGTTCCGTAAACCCACGCTGTTACCTTCTCCCAGGAGTCGTCGGACAGCCGGTGCAGGAGGGCACTGCCCACCATGGCTGGGACGATGAGGGACTGCGGGGAAGGCAAAGAAGAGTCAATCTCCTGGCTCCCACCGGATTGAGACCTCTCTAAAAATACGCGGTGTTACCAGGGACCTTTCTCTGTAAAAGAAAGTTTATCTAGAAAGTCACAGAGGTAGAAGTAATGGGCTCAGGAAATAAGTTACAGAGGCAAAAGAAGGGCCCTTGGAGCTTAGAGAAGGAGGGAGGCAGGGAAAACACGCCTGGAGGGAGTGGGGGAGGGAAAGCCCCGATGTGCCCCATAGAGAGAGCCGCTACCAGGGATCATTTCAGAAAGGTCGCTTTAAAACAAACATTTTCCTTTCTTGGGTAATCATGAGGAGAGCCAGAGGAAGTAGTCAGTTGCACTGGAAACAGGTACTGCTGTTCAGGGCCCAGGAATTGTACACAACGTGAATTCAAGCAAATTTTATTCTAATGACATGTGTATATAACCTATATGTTGTACTAACACTATAAAATAGTTTGTTTTAAACACTCTTCACTAAAGGAGCAAATTGATCTCCTTTTCTATTTCTTGTCTCCAGACTATATACCAGCCACCATTTTTCCCTTGGAAGTCTCATTAAATGTGACTTTCAAAGGGAATACTGAAACCACAGAAAATGGAAAATTTATAATGACACAAGAAAATGCCAATAATAGGACATTAATAGAAAAACTGAGAAAATACATACATATTCACAAACATGACACACAAAAGAAAGAAATGCACCAGACTTCATTTAATTCTGGGTAGTTTTATATTTCTTATATATTCTGGGTAGTTTTCAGTATTTTCTAAGTTTTCTATAATGAGCATGTTTCTTATAATGAGCATGTTTTGCTTTTATAAGAAAGAAAAAAATTAACTAAGAATTTAGAGATCTAATTAGCTTTTTCTTCAATAAGAAATAACATTTATACTGAGGAGCATAGCCACTGTGGGGGTGGGGAAGGTGTGCCTACCAGTTTCAGGGGATCATCAGTAATAAAAAGCACCTTTTTCAACAAATTGTGCGCTCCCCTTGTCAAAGGAACGCAGCGGCTGTCTTGAAAAGGTGATTCATTCCATCCTAGGGTGACTGTCTTCATAAACAAGTTTTCTTTGGTTTTCTATGCCTAGGGCACTGACTATCACAGAGATGGGTAAATCCAACTACTTGGGTGGAGATAACGGCCCCTTTCTCCCTGCAAAGCCTTTCAGGAAGGATGCCAAAGACAGAAAACGCTACTCACTGCGTGTGTGTAACAGTTAGCAGCATGTTCATAACAAGTAGGTTTGTAGCGGCCATTGGCTGGGGCCCGGTGGTTCATGAACCTGTAGAAAGAGACATGGTGTGAGGACAGCCGAGAGCATGTGAAGAACAGCGGGTAGCCTGCCAGTGGATGTTTGGTCTATTCTGAATGAAGAGGCGACCGGTGGAAACACCTAGTTCTGGGAACAGAACCAAAGCCACTAAATAGGTGTAAACTGAGCCCACAGCAATGATCCTAAAGCAAATGCCCTCATTTATTCTTTCAATTCATTCAAAAGAAAAACCTGCCAACCCAAAGCAAACAGAAACCATATCCACCCCTTCAACTGGTACCCACTACACTAATAAAAGGCACAACCAAATCTTAACTCTTAACAGGAAACAAACCAAGAGGATTTTTCTAAACTTGACAAATTCCAGTAAGTGTCATTAACTGAAAAGGGATACAATGCATTTGAAAGGTTTCAATTTTCTCTCTCAAAATTTAGAAAGCTTTATACATGTAGATCTTTAAACCCTACATCCCATGATTCGCCAGCCTGTCCAACTAGTTTCTCTCTGTTTCATTATCTGTTTGGGCACCAGACAGTTTAAATAAATGATACCTGGCTGCCTCTAGGCCACCTAAACAAGAGGTATGTTTTCAGCCATGTCCTTTCTGAATTAAAAGAGTTTAGTTCAGCCCTGGCTGGTTTGGCTCAGCGGTTAGAGCATCTGTCCTCGCACCAGAGGGTCGCAGGTTCAATTTCCAGTCAAGGGCAGTACCTGGGTTGCAGGTTCCGTCCCTAGCCCTGGTCAGGGTCATGTGGGAGGCAACCAACTGATGTGTCTCTCTCACATCGATGTTTCTCTCCCTCTCTCTCTCCCCCTCTCTCCCATACAATGGAAGAAAATATCCTCAGCTGAGGATTAACAACAACAACAAAGAGTTTGCTTCAAAATCCAAATATATGACTAGTCGCTGAGACTTTGGTGCTAGAATTCAAATATACACACAAATGTATGTATCTAAATATCAAAATCTGTGACACATATAGACACATACCCATCTTCCATACTTCCCTTGGGGCTAACTTTGTAGCAATCACCAACACAGTGAAAAGCATGACCACCCAGAACCTGGGAGACCAACAGCATCCTTTGGTCTCAGTGTGTAGGTTAGGGCCCCCGACACCCACCCAATACCCACGCCACGTTCATGAGATTCCGGCTTGGTCTGACTGTCCTCTGGGAAAAGGGAGATGTAAACGTAGGAATATGCAAGAGCAAAGCAAACGGAGGAAAAGAGCCTGGCAGCATGGAGGTCTGTGGGCCGTGCACCCCTGTGCTTGGAGCCTGCGAAATGCCGCAGCCTTTTGCAACATCAACTCTCTTTTCGCTTGAGCTACTTTGCAGGGAGGGGAAGGTGGACTTGGTTATTTGCCACCAGGGGTTCTGACTAGTCACACCTTATTAACGAACACATTGCAAAATGGTACCAGGCTAAACCTAATGGCAGAGCCAGGTGACAAAAAATAGGCTCAAACACATGGTCAAGCCATTGTAACAGGGTCCAGTTTATGAACAAAAAAGACTAGCACTTTCTTCTTGAATTAAGAGAGGCCATTATCCTTGGAGCAAACGAGTGAAAATAACTTGGCAGCCCTATTGATCCAACATAGAGTTCAAAAGGAAAATCCACTGGGGAGTGGATCTGGGAGAGTGAGGGACCACCACGGGTTAGCTATCTAACTCGTGTGCAAATATATACGTATTGAATGGAATTCACCAGATGGCTTGAGAACTGCTTAAGAGAAGCATGCAGTGAACAGCTTCAGAATTTACCCAGGCTATTCTCTCACATAAAAAAATCTTTTCTCCACTGATAATCTTAAATAATTTTACTGATTTCCTAAGGGATGAGAGTGTTGCTATACAGCTCTTATTAGCAAAAAGGAAAACAGTGATGCCCTTGGGAAGAATGCTTTACAAGTGTCCCAAGCATTCAAGGACCTACCACATCACTACCTGAGACACACAGCAGACCTATCAGTAGCAGACCCTGTGAGGAATACTAAAGGGTAAAGAGCGAGGCTCCAGCTCAGCTGGTGTGGCTTAGTGGATTGATCCTTGTCCCGGTTGGATTCCCGGCCAGGGCACATGCCCGGGTTGCAGGCTCGATCCCTAGTAGGGGGCTGCTGCCGGTCGATGTTTCTCTCTCAGGTCGATGCTTCTATCTCTCTCCCTTCCTCTCTCTCTGAAAAAATAATCAACAAAAACATATTAAAAAAAAAAAAAAAAAAAAAGAGCAAAGCTCCAGGATGGCAGAGGCGAGAGTAAAATTGAGAGTGCCCTGTGTAGGGCGCAATAATAGGGTTTGTCTACCCACCACAAGGCTGAAGACTAAAATAGCAATTTATATCTCTGGCAGCCCAATCTAAAAATAGTCAGACCATTACACAGCAACAGGGATAGACTTTCACATTTTTTCCTAAAAGCAAAGAAGCTGGGTGGCCATATCTGTCACAGCGTAGTCCCTACCCACCTGGAGTCACTCAGGTTAAAAATAAACTCAGAAGTTGTGGAGGAAAATACCCCACCCATGTGACTTCAGGTAGTTTCAGTTATAGATGGAAACAAAATTGGGCAGCGAGGACAGGTAAAAGCAACTACACTCAGAGCAGATCACTGTCTGGGCTTCGGGGGGATATAGCAGGGCCGTTTTGCTGGGAAATGTACACCGAAATCTTTCCATCTCTCCCTGATCTGCCAGGGTACAATCCAGCCTCCTGAAGAAATCACTCTTAAGACCTAAATGCTATGAAATGCAAATCAACTCCCACACACTGAGCCTATTCTCTTCCCCCAAAAAAGAATAAGGAAGGTTTCAAGTGTCATGGAAAACAGCACCCATCTATGCAAAGCATCTCTCTCTAAGCTGGTGTAACCTAATGGCTACCCAGTGCTAGAATCGAGTTTCAGCATGGTTCAGAGGGTTCGAGGAAAGGTGATTTAGTCCTGGGTATGAAAACCATACTTAATAAAGCTTTTATTTTGGCAGGGTTTTTTCACTCATTTCCTCACTTTCTCTTTCAACACTGTCCCTTGCTTCCCCCTTGCCCAGTGTCCTCAGCAACGCCCCCATGACCAAATTTCAGAACTGTGAGGAGAAAGGATAGTGACCCAGGGACACTTCTTAGCACACTTTAAATTCGGCCCAAAGCACTGTGCCTTTGAAGGTAGATCCACAGCCCACCAGCAGATCCTAAAGGCCTAAGATCCAAGCCTGGGGGTTGTCCTCGATTCCTACGTGTTCCTTGGTCTCCAAATGCAAGTGCTGTCCACACTGCCTTCCAGATATATTTCACACCAGTCCACCTCTCCACGGTTCCAGATCCTACCTTAAATTGAGACACTGACGTCTCTGGTCTATAAAAATGCACATTCTCTCCATTGGGCTCCCTGTTCGTCCCCATAATACTCTCTTCTTCTTTTTTTTTTTTTAATCCTCACCCGAGAACATTTTTCCATTTTTTTTTGTTCAGATAGAGTGGGAGGGAGGGAGAGAGAGAGAGAGAAACATCGACGTGAAAGGGACACAGCGAGTGGTTGCCATCCACACAACCCAACCCGGGCCGGGGACAAACTGCAACCAATGTACATGCCCTTAGCGGGAACCAAACCCGGGTCTCTCTGGACCGCAGGCCAACACTCTAACCACTGAGCCAAACCGGCCAGGGCCATACTCTCTTCTTTATACAGCAGCTGCAATCGTCTATTAAAACTAGATCATGTCCAGCCGGTGCGGCTCAATTGAGCTGCATCCTGGCACCAGGAGATCCCTGGTTCAATTCCCAGTGGCTCTATCCCCAGTCGGGGGTATGCAGGAGCCAGTCCATGGATGTCTCTCTCTCCCTCTCCCATCCTCTCTCTGAAATCAATAAAAACATATTAAAAAATACACTCGATCCCATCACACACTCCAATGTAAAGCCTGCCTCTGGATTCTCAAGGAAGCAGGCCCGAGTGGTCCACAAGCCATGAGTAGTCCAGCCCTTACTACTTCGCCAGCCTCAGGGTCCTACCTTCCTCTCACTCCCCACCCTCCAGCTACAGTACCTTTATGCTCTCCCCAAACCTCTAAGGTATTGTCTGCCTCAGGATATTTGCATTTGCTGTTCATTTCTGCCTAGAACATTCTCTTCTCCAGAATGCTCAGCTCTCCTCCCTCTTCAAGCTCAGCTCAAAGGCCACCTCCTCGGATTTTCCTCAGCATCCTACCTAAGTATCACTTTAGCCCTCTCCCCCCACCAGAGCTTATCACATTTCATAAGTTTGTTGTTGTTGTTTTTAAATTTCATCTTTCCCCTCTGTAATATGAATTCCATGAAGGCCATCTGGTCTACCATTTCATTTCTAATTCAAAGCACAACGCCTAGTTTATTGCTGGAGCTTAATAAATAGGTCTTGAATGAATGGCTAAAAGACAGTCATTGTGGCTGAACTGTTTTATCTTAACTGAGAGATATCCCACTGCCACTGGTTTCACGGGGGATGCAGCAGGTTCTGTATGTAACAGAGAGAAACAGACTGTCTTAGAGTCAAAAGAACTCTGAATCTTGTGTAAATATTCTTAAAGGCCCAGACCATGGACATTCCAAGGGCTCCTTCAACATCACTTGATGGAGTAACATAAGTTGACCCCTGTGCACAGTACATTATGAGTTCCTCTTTATGAATGAGCATATTACCAGAGGTGGTGATAGTGGTGAGAACATTTAACTTAATTATTAATAAGGAAGAAGGCATGTATAAGGACACTACCCCATGCGTATGATTCCATGCTCTGAGAACGTGTACAGAAAGACAACAGGCAGTCTTGGAAGACTTGCTTCCTAATGCTTTAGAATAAGGTGTTGTACCTGATGCAATTTGGTCACAAGGCTGGGGCTGAGGAAAGGAACATCCTGTCCTTGGATTTTTGGTTGCAAAGCTGGAGAAATGAGTACGTACCGTCTAGACACAGTAGAAGTGACTGTGGGCCCTGGCCTCTACCCTGTATACATAGATGTTGCAGTGTGCACAGTGAGACACAAGGAGGTGAGCTGGCAGATGGGTAATAAGAGGGGCAAGAAATGAACTTTTGGATCTGCCCTTTCCTAGCTGTGTGACTAAGGCCAGTTCCCTTTTAATCTTGAACTTCATCTGTTCTTCTGGCACATGAACATAAAATTTGCCTTCCAGGGTTACAGTTGAAGATCAGATGAGTAATATACAGGGGTGGGCAAAAGTAGGTGTACAGTTGTTCATATTGAACAAGACATGCAGGTTATGATTATTGCAATAACTTCATGAACTCAAAAGAATGTCACTCACAACTGTAAACCTACTTCTGCCCACACCCTGTACAAATAGCCACTGCCTGGCCAAGGTTGGCTCTCAGTGTTAGCAGTTACTCTCATCAGTCAGAGATGCTGTGAAAGGGAGAGAATGACCCCGGCGGTGGGGGGACTCAAATGTAGAAGGAATAAAGCAAGAAGGGTAAACAATGCTGTGTGCCGGTGGGATTGTGCACATCCTAAGCTTTCTGAGAAGCCCTGCGTGCACACAGCCCCCACCAGGACAACAGGCTGTTTCCTCCCAGCCCTCCTCCACAGAAATGGCAGAACTCTGGAAGTTGATCCGAAGCTACAATGACCACCAAGTTTCCATTAGGAACAAACCAGCAGGGTGTTCAGGTTTTCTTGTAATATAGGCAGACCCACAAACTATGGCCTCATGAGATCAATGCTCTTCGAATGAGTCCTGATAAATCTATCAGAGAAGCACAAGTGTTCAAAGACAGTGTGCCCTTCCCTCTAGTTCCTCTGTAATTTACATACCCATAACTATCCCGAACACTAAAAAGAAACATAAGGAACGTGGCTTTAAATGTTGAGAGAATAGTACTCTTAACATTTCAATGTATGGACCACAAAAACCAGGATATTTTTCGTTACATTAACTTTTACTTTCAGGCTTTATTTCTAAGTTCAAATTGACCCTTAGAAATATCTTTCCATTCTAGTCTATAACACAAAAACAAGAAATGATGGGATCACTTAGTCTTTCAAAGAAAATTAGGGTAGCTCTGGCCTGGTAGTTTCGTTGGTTAGACCATCATCCTGAAACACCAAGGTTGCAGGTTTGATCCAGTCAGGGCATATACAAGAATCAACCAATGAATGCACAAAAAAGTGGAACAACAAATTGATGTTTCTCTCTCTCTCTTTCCCTACAAATCAGTAAATTAAAAAAAAGAAAGAAAGAAAGAAGAAGAAGAAAGAAAGAAAATCAGAGTAGGTCTAGATGTCATCAAGAAAATAACTATTAAATAGCCACTGGTATTGTGCAGCCACTGGGAAAATTACAATGTCTATGCCGCATCAAAAGAAAAGGCCTGTATTTTTCATTTTTAAATGAATCGAGCACAAAATCACATTACATCGGTGATAGATTAGGGTTCAGTAAAAAGAAAATATTTCAATCAGGTGAGATAGTAGAATCCTAAATGTGTGTGTGTGTTTTCACTTCTCTTAACACTGTTTTGATGTTTGTGCAACAAAGAGTAAAACAGGTTCTTTTCTTTTTTCTAGAATAGAATTCAAAGGCTAGGAAAGGGATACAAACTCTTAATCAAATAAGGAAGGGTAATTTCACAGAATATTGCCACTGTTCTCTGAAAACAGGAAGAGCAGAGACATGCAGAAGTAAAAGCAAATCAGACAAACCACATGCACAGGGCTTTGCCAATCATGCCCGAACACATGTTACATTCTCCCTTAAAAAGCGCCCCCCCCCCCAAGTCTTCACTCCTGACTTCATGGTCTAAAGCCAGAACATCGTGGTTCCGTTTTGCCTTTAGAAGCATTGATATGATGTTCCCACTGGGGGAACAGTGCCAGGCATTCAACACCCTGAGCAATATTCAGAAGTTAACTAAAACCTTCAAACTGATCACCCTTGTGATGGCACAGTCCACACTCTTCCCACACACGTTTGGCCTCTTTAGCCTCTGGGACAGGGGGAGGAATGAAATAAGTATAATGGGTGAGTAGGCACTGGGGGATTAGGAAATTGGAAAGAAAACAAATGCACTTTAAAAATTTAAAATACAAGACCGTGCCAAAACCCTCAACAATAACCTCCTTGGAAGATTTCGTGTATTCCTTTTCGCCCTTTAAATTCCCCGTCACTGCACAGTAAGCTAGCTTGCTGCTGAGGTCTGGGAATGGGAACAGCTGCCGATTCCCATAAAGAGATGGAGAATTACCACAAACACAGGGGAGGTGAACTTTCACCCACTTAAACGAAGAATGAGAAAGAAAACTCAGAGCTTCCTCTCGGAACCATGGGCCAGCTCCGTCGGTGGCGAGGCGGCAGGGACCCAGAGCCGGGATTAAGGCCTCCCCAGGCTGGCGTTCTCAGCTCTCCAGTCAATGAGCAGCCTGCCATCCTTCCGGTGGCGCCTCCTGGGTTCCTCCTCCTCATTTCCTAACACTGGCGCCCCAACACATCTTACCACCCAAATGCTAACGTGGCCCTTCGCAATGCCCAGAATAGCACAGCCCTGGGGCGCTAAACAAGCCCGAGAACCGTCAAGGCCAGGATGTGGCCATGCAAGCTAAATCACTGGAGCGTGCCTCAGTTTCCCTGTTGCCAGGGCCGTTTACAGACAAAGCACCCCGAACGCCCGGCAACCCCAGCTTTACAACACATCTCGCTGCAGGGCTCAGCAGCTGGCCGGCCCTCCTTCCTAGAGCACTGGGGGCCCCCCACGTTGTGGGTCAAGGGGTGGCGGGCAGAGCGAGGGTCTGAGGACCTGAGGGCGGCGCTGCGGCTGGGGTTCCGGTCTCGGAGCGAGCAAGAGCCCCGCCTGGACGGGGATCGGGAGGTTAAGTCGGGTGAGCATTGGGACTGCCCGGGAGGAGGGCAGGCTCAGGGTCCGGGATCTGGAAATCCGGGGTCCTCGGATCGCGAGGGGAGCCCGGGTCAGGCAGCAGATCCCGGTCCTCGGAGGGAGGGGATTGCCCGGGGACTGCAGGGCGGGGAATCCCCCGGGAGCTGCTCCCGGCTCGGGCGTGGGATCCACCAGGGGATGGATCCAGGTGAGGAGCCGGGACCCACATGGGGGGAGCTGGGATCTGGGTCCAGCTCCTGGCACGGGCGGTGGCGCGGGGGTCCATCCTTCTCACCGCTGGAATCGATTCTTGAACCGCATTGATCCTCCGCTCCTCCTCGCGGCCCGGGAGCTCCGTCTCGTCAGCGCCGGCGGCCGGGCGCGCGGCCCTCATGAGCTTAGGCTGCTCCGGAGGCCGCCCGGTGCCCGGCGGGCTAGAGCCGGAGAGGGTCAGGCTGGGGGTCGGGACAGGGCCGGGGCCAGACCGGGCGGCTGGGGGCGGGAGGGAGGCCGCTTAAACGGCCCCGGCGCCTCCCGCCTCCCGGCTTCTCCGCCCCAGAGCCCCGCGCCCCGCCCCGGAGCCCGGTTCCACCCCCGCCGGCCCCGCCCACCTGCGTGCTACCCCGGCCGCCAGCGCGTCACGGCGCCGGGCAGCCAATCAGCACCCCGAGCGGCGCGGCGGCAACGCTGCCATTCATTTCTGCAGCCAGGTCGGAGGGGCGGGGCCTCGCGGCTGAGCAGCGGGGGCTGGAGGCGGGGAAAGGAGGGCTGGAAGGGAGACACTCCTTTATAAGGGGTCTTGTTGGACCCTAAACATGGAAGAGGAGGGGAGGGAAAGAAAAATTATAAAGAAGGGTGGACCAAGAATCTTAAAAACAATTGTGAAAAAAATAGCAACAAACAAGAACCTCCGCCTGTATTCTATCTAGCCCTGGCTCTGTGTCATTCATCCATTCTTCGTCATTTTGAGGGCCAGCTTCCCCTAGGCTATCATGTAAGGCTCCAGGGCACATTTAAATACCTTTCCTTACCGTGGCAGGTTGCTAAGTCGTTAGAGCTTTGGCCTGCGCATGTGTTCCATTCCTACTCAACAGCAGGTACCTGGGTTGCAGGTTCATCCCAGGTCCCCCACCTCGCCCCCGTGGGGGGTCGTGCAGGAGGCAACCAATCAAAGTGAGGTCATGTTTCTCCCTCCCTCCCTTCCACTCTATCTGAAAATCAATGGAAAAATGTCCTTGGGTGAGGATTAACAACAACAATAATAATAAAATAAAAATAAAAACCTTTTTCTTGTTTGTCATGTGAGGAGGTTCAGATGCTCTTTCTCTGAGATTCAATGAGAACCACAAACGGGGGTGTTCTCTACAGAGACCCTTTCAGTGTTGTCCTTCCAATTGATTATTATTTTTTAATCAGAGAAGTTTCCAGGTAAACCAAGAAGTAGACTTGAGTCAGGGTCTGGTTGCTGAACCTAAACTCAGAGGGCTTGTGAAAGAGAGGCTCAAAGGAAAGTGAATGATGGGTGATTTCTTGAGCCTTTCTCTTATTCCTGGAATTAAGGGGTGCTCCCCTCCAGGTCGCCTTCCACACCCTTCCCCCAAACCGGAAACTGGATACTCTCAAGAGGTCATAGGCCAGCCTGTTAGGAGTGCTTACTGTGCAGCGGTGGAGCATTGCAAAGCCGGGAATTCTTTCACGCATAATTCTAATTCCCTTTCTTTGAATCCCTTCCAAGTGGCCTGGTCTAGAAAGGTGTTCTTCCTGGTCATTTCATTAATTTTCCCCAGAACACCAAGATGTAGGCATTATCTTCCTCATTTCACAGACAAGGAAGCTGAGAGGTTTAAAAAGTTGCCAAATGCAAAACTAGGATTTGCCCCTATCTACATCTAACACTGAAACCCCCAAATCCTTTCAGTTTACCTGACTGCCTCACCTTAAGTTCTAAAGCAGTATCTCTTAAAACAAACAACACCTTTTTTTTCCCCCTACACCAAGTAGAAAATAAGCATGGATTGAAAGTTCACTAATCTGATCTGTCAGGCCACTGGGCAAAATTGAATTGGTGGGGAAGGGAAAGGCTACAGAGGAAATAACTGATAAAAACAGATTAAAATTAATGGTATAAATAACATAAGAAGGGTTAAAACAACAACAAACAACAGATGCCAGGTCACATCCTATCAATGACTTTGGAATGTGCTGAGATCAGAAGCTATCAGAGTGTAGTGGGGCTAAGTGGGAAAGGGGTGCAGGAGCAAAGGGAGTCTGGAGATGGATTTTGAAAGAGATGATGGGGCATGACTTGGCACAGTCTTTCATAGGGGGAGAACGGTTTGAACAAAGATGTGAACTGTCCAGTATGGAGAAAATTTATGAGAGGCTACTTAGGTTTAGAAACACCAATGTGAATGGTATTGACCTAAGAAAAAAAATGAGTGAGATAAAAATCAGATTAAATTATTAGAATAAAATACCTTGACCTACGGTGGTCTCTTCCACAGAAATGCAGGAATATTAATAGAAAGTGGCTTGTTGAAATAATATGATCACAAATTCAAATCATCCTCACTGTTGGTGAAATGCTCCCCACAAAGTAAAAGTGATTCTCAAAAAGTAGAAGTACAAGAAATAGCTTTGAATTAATTTTGTAAACACCTGCCACATTTTTTTTTAGTGAGGTGTCCTTTTCAACTTGTTCGTGAGGAGGAATACCAAGTATGTTTGCAGAAAAGAGGTACTAGATTTGACTTAGAGATTAGTCTATGCAGTGGTGCAGAAGAATGTGAAAAGTTTTTCAAGTTAGCAGGACGTGACATTTTTGTTGAGCTCAGAGATATAGTTCTTCTTTCGGCAAAACTGCAGACACACATTTGCATGGGCACAACCTGCGCCTAGAAGGGATTTGTAGAAGAGCAGAGGGCAGCTCAGAAGAAACTCTTGGGAGAACACTTGCCCGGCTCCCCAAGAGACACAGAATTTCTGGACAGGATGCTGACCACACTAAGAAGCACCTGGAACCTAGTTCTCTGGCTGTGATCATCCAATCAGAAAGTAGCAGCTCTGCCCCTGTGGTTTCAGTGTCCCAGGAATGTTGCCTGAACTTCTGATTGCAAGTTTTGTTCTGTGGCTGGAATTCAACTGGTCTCTTTACATAGATGACAAAGTAAAGCAATTATTAAAATGTGTGTGTTCCCAGCCTCTCCCCTTTTCTGAAAAGAGGAATGCTCTCTTTCCCTGCGTAGTCTTTTGTCCACATTCCATGGTGGTAGGGTCTGAATGTCTGTGTCCCCTCCCCCCAATATTAATATGTAGAAATCATAATGCTCAATATGATGGTATTAGTAGGTGGGGCCTTTGGGAGGTGATTAGGTTAAGCACCACCCGCATGAATGAGATGAATGCCCTCATAAAAGAGTTCTGAGAGAGTTCCCTGGCCATGTGAGGACACAGGGAAAAGTCACCAGTCTACAACCAGGAAGGGAGCCTTCACCCAAACTGGACCATGCTGGCACTCTGATCTTGGATTTCCAGCCTCCAGAACTGTGGGAAATAAATTTATATGGTTTATAAGCCACGCAGTCTGTGATATTTTGTTATAGCAGCTCAAATAAACTAAGACACCTGACCTCTGAGGAGTCTCTTTCATACCTTGTTCCTGGACTTTCATGATGAAAACAATGGCAAGAAAAAGAGATCTGGAGAGAAAGGAAAGGCCTTGGTAGATAGGTTATATTGATCTACATGATGAAGATACCAGAAGAGACATTTCATAATCTAGGGGATATTGGTGAAGCTATTTTGTGAGGTGGGGGGAATTTAGCTAAGTAAGAGGATTCATGGAATTGTGAGATATGAGAAGAATAGAAAAGAGGTTGTAAGAGGTTTTGCTAAGAGTACGAGTTGGATACCCTACTAATTTCCAAGTCAAGTTTAGCGTCCCTTCTTTATTATTCTTGGCTGTTTGGGTTGTGTTATTTGAAAATGACTTCTTTGAGACTGGACCAGATGAAAGAGGGATGCACAGTGATTACACAGATTCAATTTTTTGAGTGCCTAACAGGGTCTTGGAACTTTTACATCTGTTAGCCCATTTTATCCTTAGAACTATTCTGTGGGGGTAGATAATGGCATGTCTGTTTTATAGAGGAAGACATGAAAGCTTAGAGAGGTTTTGTGAGTTACTTAAACTTGTAAGTATAAATGAAAAAGTCAAGATTTGAGTCCAAGTCCAGTGTTTTCCCCTCCAGCCCTCCCTGGAGTTGGGGTCAGAGAATCTGGACTCAAATTTCTTGCATCTGCTACATGGATTTCTTCCCCCGAGAGCAGTGGTTCTCAACCTTCCTGATGCCGCGACCCTTTAATACAGTTCCTCATGTTGTGGTGACCCCAACCATAAGATTATTTTCGTTGCTACTTCATAACTGTGGTTTTGCTACTGTTATGACTTAGGCGACCCCTGTGAAAGGGTCGTTCAACCCCCAAAGGGGTTGCAACCCACAGGTTGAGAACCACTGCCCTAAAGGAAACACCAACTTAAATGATTCTCCGAAAGCCCAGACGTGTCAACTGTTCCTAAAGTTCTTGTGAATATGGACAAAGCAATTACACTGTGCATCACTCTTCACCATCTGTGTCTCCAAAGTTCTACATCCTAGGTGAGCTGCCCTATCTCTTTCACCCAAATAGCCCCATTTCCCATCCGACATTTCTTCTCGATGCCAGTGGAGAAAACCCTCCACCCCCTCTAAGGTCTGTCAGTGCATTTTATTACAGAAAGAATGTTGATGTTTCTCTTTTGGCTTCTATCATTTGCATCCCAGCACAATCACTCTGCTGAGCAAAACCAAAGGCTTCATGAGAATCTATCTTCTTTGGAAGATACAGGAAGGGAAGGGGTTGAAAATAACTAATAATGTACTATTTTTCTGTTTCACACATTTATTCAGTGAACAGCTATTGAAAGTCTCATGAGCACACAGGTGCCGGCTACAAAGTTGAGTGAGATGCTCTGTCCTCAAGCAACCTCCAGGCGGTGGGAGAGACAGACAACTGACCATAAAGCCGTGTTCAGTGTGTTAGTGCTATGATGGAATATTGTTCATGATGTTTCAGTTTAGTGGCACATAATAAAAATCTCTAATGATATTAAGGTGGGGCAGGGAAGGGGGTGCCTTGAAAATGAGATGGGATTGGGACTTAGTACCCAGTGATTAGATGAGAGAGAGAGTAAATAAGAAAGCAATAAAGAAGTTGACATTCAAAGAGGAGAGAGCACAGTGTACGCCGAAGCACTCTATGTTTGAAGACCTGCAATTCTACATGATACAATGAAAGCCATTTGTGAAGTGTAGTAGGTAAGAAGCGTGCAGATTAAACAAAGAATGATTAGATTATGATTTGGAGTTTATACTGAAAGCAGTGGAAACCCATTGGAAAACTTGAAGCCACAAATGAGGTGATCAGTTTTATATTTAGA